GAATGATGAGCTTTCAAATGAATCAGCGAATTAGAAGGGCGCCCGAGGCGTGGCGCGCACCAAGGCAAGGGATGTAGTGCAAGCGCATGCTCGGAGCTTTCTAGCACATCCTAAATTAAACATAAAATTGGTCTTCCAAGAAGTTACGGGCAGTGAAACCTAAGAAAACTCGCGTTTTCGAGAAAATGGCTTGAAGAATACCCCTCAAAAGTAACAACGGGACTAATTTTTGAACTGCTGATCTTTTCAGGAACGCTTGGTGCTCGTTAGAAAGCTTGAATCCTGTAGTTTATTATACCGTGTTCAGCTTCCCAAATGAATGACTTTGAAGGAAGTTATGATCGTTTAAAGGTCAAAAAGTCGCCTTTGCACAGAAAAAAGTAACAACGTACTAAATTTTTATTAAATTAACTTTCGAAGAATTTTTACCCATGGTTGGAGAGAGAATAATTTGAATTTTCCAAATCAAATCACTTCGGCGCAGAAGCTCGAATATGAAGGAAGTTATAGCCTTAGAAAGAGGGGTGTAAAAATTGTGTTGCAATTGAAGAACGTGAAGGATTTCAGTATTTCAATTGGAGCGATAATTTTTTCTGACTTCTCATAAGTTTTTATCAGGTAATATTGTCAATATTCCGGTCACTGGTTCAGTTTATTTCATCTCCTAGTTTGGTAACCCTTTGGAGTACACGGATATCTTTGAATGCATCTCATTTTTTCGTGTTTGGAAGCAGCGATGAATATCTGTCGTGGATTTTGCTAAAGTTTCATCTTTGATGACTTACGTAGAAATAAATATTGATGGTAAACACTGTCTACACAAGTGTCACATACAAGGGGGTCGTATCAAATCACCCATGAAGGGGGGGTCGTAAAAAATTTCCAAAGAGTAACAACGATAGGGTTGATCCTGCTTCCGAATCCACTCCCTCCTGTCTTTCAACTGCTACTGCTGGTGCACCACGCAGTTCGTTAGAGAGCGTGCTTATTTGGTAGTTAGATGGGTTATTCACAATCAGGACTATTACTTTCCTCATCACACCACCAACGAATTTTAGAATGAAGGCAGAACTCATGGCGCATCCCAAAAAGGCGTCTGCAGACGAACATACACACGCACACACCTCTAACATAGGAATTGATAGACTTGATCATTCTCTTGCGACTAATGTTAGTCTACCGGGAAAATCGTAATCAATATTTTAAGAAACGATTTCGAGCCATGACACAGAGTGCGAAAAACAGGGACTGCGATCGTAGCCACTTGGTTCCGCAATTGCCACATTCTGCCCCAAGCCCTGCTTCACATGGAAATAATGATCAAGTGGTGTGGATACCATCATCTTCTTGTCTGCCTCGTTACAGCACTCCGTACATGAGGAAACACTGTCCACATTTGCCTAGTCACTACTCAGCCTCCTCCAGCACGTTAGGAAAATCCCAATTACTGAGTTTCGAATTGTATGCTCCGGTCCTCCGGAGAAGTATGGAGCTACCTTCTTTTGTGGCTAGCCACTAGACGTCAGGAACCAAAGTTGTGAAGCTTCAGAGAAGCGATCATGCTGTATTCGAGGAGTAGCTGCTACTACGAGTTATCAACCGAACGACTCGAGATGACAGCTGAGCTGGACGAGCGTAATATGGAAGTTAGGAGATAGGAAGATACGGCTGCTTGGAATAAGGTACACTTTGAATGAAAATCGGACATTACGATAGCGGTATCATTCAGTACGGCTGCTACTGTGTAACCCTTTGCTTGTCTGATAGCTAGGGAGTGTGCGCAATGCCGGAAATGGTTCCGACGCCGTAATAACAGCACTGAATAAGGCGCCACGTGTACCGCCTAGTCATCTACTCGTCTCATTGGAATAGGAATTGCTAACCCAATCCAGGACCACGCCAACTTTCCTTTATCGTTTCGCAATAATGCTATCAAAAAATTGCAACTTAAAGGACGAATTTACGATGGAAAAGCAACCCATTCCAAATTGAGGTAGAGATGGTGAGTAGTACCAGAAAGAAAGCGAAACCACGAAAAACGGCCCAGAACCGGAGAAATGGGACCCCTTCCTTGTCCGTTGATTTGAGCATTGATGGGACTCTCATCGCTTTGCCCTCTTCAACCCTACGCTCTCTCAGCTATCTAATCACTCGCCACCTATTGTACTACGGCGAGTGATCAGACGATCGGTGGGCGGAGATCGCCGAACTCGCCAACTTTGAGCCATGCTAGATCTCAGAGGTCAAATCTTTCGATGCCGATTGCGTGTCTGTCCGCACCCTCAAGAGATTCACCGCTCTCCCCACTAGGCGATTTCTCCCTTCTTCGACCTTCGTTCTTTCCGTGCAATCCTCCTTTAAGCAGGTTAAGTGCTTGAGAATTGTGCTTACTGTACCCCGTCCACATCGTGAACCCTGTTGGCCATGATCAATGGATGGAAACTGGTGCGGAAATAATGGAGGGACATGAAGATCGTCACTACGTGTTTGAATGATCAAGACAATGTGTAGACCGACAATTTCGAATCTCAGAACTCTATGGGGGTGTCTCCGTAGACACATCGGAAGCGCTTTCGCAAATGACGGTTGATCTGTCCAGATCCATTTTCAAAGCCGTCGGGTAGAGCAATGAGACTGCCAGTCGCGGGCTGGTTGCAGTGTGAATCATCCTCGAAGAAAAAGGCAACCTCGAGTAGAGTGAACTACTGGTGCAAAGAGGATTGAGGAAGCGTGCCAACGCTATCTGCTGGTTGATCCTCTATTTCCTCTATGTTTTTTGGTGCTTAAACTATCCGATCGGTAGTAATTAAAAAAATGCTCAGAATTTTCTTTACAAAAAATTGAGTCATAGCCACTGAGCAGCTTTAAATAGGCTGCGAATTGACAAGTCAAGGTGTAAAGGCCTCCCCTTCTCAAGACAGTTCCGCCTTTAAAGGAAGCGATTACGATAGATCTCAAAGGGGTTTAGAGGGGACGTGGGGTCTCAATAGTACGCCAATGGCGAAAAAAGCAAAGAAATCCGTCAAAAATAAGCAAAATAGTACCCCTTTGATTGCCCTTTCATTTTCGACCATGGATGAGCGACGTAAAGAACGACGTTGTTCGCGGAGCGTGTTTTAACGCGCCGATAGCCGCGCATCGGTGCCGGGACCAGCATAAGTGTCTTGATTGATAAGGCAATACGTGGGCAAGGTTGGAAGATACAGCCGCTAGAAGGGAAATGATCATCCCAAAATGAAAAGCCAACAGCAAACAGTCCATCCAGATCATCAACAAAACTAGTGGGCGTTACGTCACTGGGGGCGGGGCGTCACGCGGGTCCTGCTCAGCAACCACAGCACCTTTCGCCGTGGGAGGACCACACATCGCTTCCTTGGCAGCCAAGTAATTGCTCCGTGTGGCGCAGGTTCTCCCCCGATGCGAAAATTCCTTATCGTAATCGCTTCCTTTAAAACGTTTCCGAAGCGAGGACGTGATACTTACTGTTTGCTCACATCGGCTGTTGAGACTAACATATACGCTATGTATTGACAGGACTTTTTACAACAAAACCGCCAAAACCGGACGAATATGAAACCACACGATTCAATCGCAAAAAGAAGATATCAGGCTACGTAGCAGAGGATCGTTGCATCTCTCGACAGAATCAGATCACATACATGGCTATTTTCATCACCGTTAGGACAAAACATGAACAATGAATAAGTAGTGGCCAACCCCATTTTCGATGGACATTATACCGCTACAACAAAACAGAAGCCGGCTAACCTTCGAATATATTGGAAAATCACTTGCCTCATCTACATTCCTGGTCGAAGGTGAAAGAACACCAGGAGTGTCAAGAACGTAAACAGGTGGTTTGTCCAGAACACGAACCCGATTTTGAACGCGTACCGTAACCCAGGTCGAGCGCCTAAGCAAAAAAAAATATTTTGCCAGTGGAAAAGCCCTGTCAGTTCCGTCTGGTAGCAGGCGAGGTTGCAGGCTGATGATTCCGACAGTACCGTGTTGCATAAAAGCTTTCAAAGATTCTTTTTGGTGACTATTAGTTTGCCTTTCCAAATTTTTTAGAGTTTCTTGCTAGCATAGTAATTACTCATTCGATATTGTAGCCTTTCTAGCCACGGTAAGTAAATGCGCAGACACAGCTTGCTAATGTACCGAATCAGGGATTGAGAACTGGCGACAGAACTGCGACAGCACGATGATCTACCGTATTCCTGAGTGCATTTCAAGAATTTTTCTCACGGTGTAAAATAATGCAGCGGTGTAAAATATTAAGATAAACACTAGCCAAAAGGGTTCAGCAGTCATTATTTAAAAGCGGAAACTACAACTCAGGATTAGAGACGAATGAATAGAACAAATCAAGAGACTGAGATTCGCTGCATTCCTTCTCTTCATGATTGCGTCATTTGTAACCATTGGTTGCAACATATGAAGTCTCATGCGTGAAAGTTGACTTTGTAAAAAGAAAAGGGCCCCCGAAAACCACATATTGTGGACAGCTGACAGACACCTGGGCGGAGCAAAGAACGAGAAAAACCTAACTCGGGACAAGTTTCGAAATCGGTAAGTAGAGACGAAATGTTACAGCGAGCCAGATCGGATGCAACAAAATAGTGAAATTTGTACGCAGCTCTACGGCGCAAATTTAAACGAGTAATAGATTTCTCAGTTTTTTTTGGATTGTTTTTTTAAACAAACGCAACTTTCGCTTTACCATGAAGAATGGCCTCAATCTACCGAATTCTGGGGAAGATAGAACTGGGCGGTTTTCGCGCACGATTGTATTAATTCAAGGATGACTTCAAAACTCAATATTGTGTCGTGTTTTCCTCACCTTCCGTTACGGCGCTTTGCTTTGTGCCCATATTATGGGAACGCCATGTATTGATCAACGAGGACTTGCCGACATTGGGTATTCCTACCACCATAATCTAAAACTCAAGGATGTGTTTAAGCAGTCATATTGTAAAAAGCGGGGCGACTCCATAAAAAGCCGCATTAGCGAGAACACGTCAAAGGAGGTAGCAGGTATTGACAGTACCCACCTGGAATTCGGTTTTCACTGTACGATTGAAGCGAGGTTCTCCGACCAGCAGATCAAGTATGGTCTTTTGGACATTCGATAACGCGCGACTTAGTCGCCTCTTACAATCGGTCCAGATTATGTTGTTAATGCCCAGCTCGTAACGGTAGTAATCTTCGATCGGTTGTCTGCAAGATCTCTTGATGGAACACAAGCAAGTACTTTTTGTTTTGCTCATGATCCAAACTCGTTCTGGTAAAATAAAGTACAGGGGAATACAGGAGGAGACGGAAGACCATATGATAGAAAAAATCTGCCCTAAATATTTGAAACGAAATTAATCACAGCTTTGCTCATCACCACAAAGCTTAAAACTTTATAAGAGTCTTCTGTGCAACTGTGTAATATTGCCCTCAGGCGGCTATCCACCACCAAACCAATCGAAGAAATCATGTAAAGCTTCAGGTTGCACTGTAGACCTCACTGAGCTTGACTGTGATGGCATATGACGTCATATTTTGAAGACGTGAGGTCATTGAAGAGGCTTGCTTCAGTGCCTGATGGGGATGGACATCTCAGTATTACTTTGCCGTAAAAGTCCCGTCAACGGCAACACTCTCTGCCGAAAAGTTTGCTGATGGACGCCAGGGACAGAAAGTCTATTTATGGCCACGGCGTCCATCAGCGAACTTCCTCCTGTGAAGAAAACACACCACCATCCGTTCGTTTTTGTCACCTTCTGCTGACAAAAACGAACGGATAGGTTCATGTGCCATCGCGAATGACGATTCTCTCAACTTCTTGTGCATGGCGAGGCGGAGCTTGTACGTGTGACTAGCCCACCGAACAAAGGGATCTATCTCATCGCTCTGTACCTGGATTCCTTCCCGCAGTACCAACTCCACTGAACCAAGCAAGGGGAACTTAGATGGAGCAAGTAACTCTAAATTAGGTCACCCACAAAACACTATGAACGCTTCATTTTACTACTTATTAGGTGCTCGAAAACTCATGTGTTCAACTTTATCAATTGCACGAAATTCGCTATTCGCTGCCCAGGGGCATGAAATTATTCGTTTTCAGGAACCTTTGAGCTCCATAGGCGGCACAAATCCCAATATTACTTGACTGAGCCAAGGTCCATCCCTTTTCCTAATTCCGTCTTATTTTCGCCAACAACATGAAATTTCTTACATTCTCTTTATGTTCTTTTCCATAATTCTACAACTGCCTTCTTCGTTGGCTTGCATGCCTTTCTTACCGTTCAGCTGCTCAGTATCTAAACACTGCATTAAGAACAGGATCGGCCGGCCAGTGGTCGAATTATAGTCACATTCACATCGTTAAGGTTTTGAGAGATCACATATTAAGGCGAAACGCCATGGCACGATCGTGATTTACAGCTAAACTATAGCAAATGTGAAAAGAGCTTTTGTCACCATCATATAATTAAGAAATTCTATCACATGTTGGTCAATTCCAGTTGTGAGACAAATCGAAAGAATTCAACTAAAAGAGCTGATCAACCCACAAGCGATCAAATTTTATTTCCATATCGCTGCGACTTCTATGAGTCCATTAGATTGGGGACCCGATTGATGGAGTTAGTCAGTTGTACTCATCGTGACGAGGGAAAATGAAGTTAGGGAAATGTGGTCTGAATAACAGGAAGGGGGGGGGGTGGCAAATAAACATTTTGCCCAGGTCACTCGGTCCCTTTTTTTCGCAGAGATTGCCGGATCTGGGGGCATGGACTGCAATTCCTGTCATCAAAATATCCCAATCCCATCTATAGAGTACACCGGCAGCCCTGCCTTACTCCTTCACCGTCTCAAATAGAACTCTAAGTGTTCCCCTGACCTCGACTCAGAAGGCCACCAAGAAATCTTCACAGCCTGAAGCTCTACATTAATTCTTGATCGATGTCAACGGACAGTTTGCTAGTGTCATTAGCTTCAACTAGCAACCGCTCACTCGGAACCCAGCCCTCGAACCCGTCTAATGGACACGATCATTCGAGGAACGTCCCTACGAGTCGACCCCAGAGCACCAGTGCCCGCACCAACTTTCTGCTCTAGATGGCTAATAAGGACTGTATACTTTCCATAAATGAAATGCGCTCTCTTATCTACTAAAATGGATTCACTAGAGACCTTGAGCTAGGCAAAGCGTGATTAAATCACATGTCTTTAGCAAAATGCTTTTATGCCCCCCCCCCGCATGTGCAGAGCTTCACATATTTTTGGTTTCTGAGCTTAGCAAGTCATAAGGGAAAACCTGTAAAAGTAATGAGTACAATTCCAACCTTGACCACCCACCTGTACTTTTTCATATTTATGAGATCCATTTTGTTCATTACCAAAACATGAGGTCGAATTGAGCAAAGCTGTTTTAGAAATGTCGAGTTTCTTCCACTAATAGGAATGCGAGCATCGTGCACCTAATAGAATACATTAATATGATTAGCAAGAATAGTGTCGCAGAACATGCATTTTGAGGTAGTTCCATAATTTGCTGCAAAAATGTCTGTCAAGGGTACTGCTGATTCCATGTGCTGTCGTTAGCAAGTAGCGCCTATTCTTGTTAGGAGTCATCGCAAATTCTTTGCACGGGTAACTACAGGCAAGCATTGATCGAGTAAGTAGTTGGGAGCCTTTTTCAATCATTTTGCAGCGAAGGCAAAAAAGAGAACCCGCCAGGGAATCGATCCTACGACGTCTCGCACGTGAACCCGGACTACTACCGCTGCTCTATTTTCCTTTATTTTAGAAAACCGATTGGTAGATTTGGAAAGCAGGTTCGATCAACGTTTAAAAACGCATCCAACAGTGTAGGTGTCCTTGCATCGACCAATCATCCTTTCCAGGTTAGCATGCCCCAATAAATGAGTTTTCCAACGTTTAGAGAACGACTCTGCAAAAGCTGCCCCCAGTGCACAGGTCAATTGTGCATGCGAGATGCCCCAGAAATAAGGGCGAGAATCGAGTGCGCCTTAGCTCATAAAGCTGACTGCCAAAGCACGGAAAAGGATAATCCCCCTACGTGGTTCTCTGGTGTATATTTCCAAAGCAGATCACGTGCAGGAGCATGCATATATCTTGCTGCATGACTATAAATTTATTTAAGGCTGCGAATTAGCAACCATGGCGGCTCTAAAGAGACAATTTAGTCGATTTGATTTGGTACACTCGGATGCGCCACGCTCTTTACTCCCACTTTTGATCATAGAATGTCGAATGTTTATCGATGCTCGGCAGCAGACACAAAGCTGTGAGGCAGCCAACGCCTCAATCAGCATAACTAC